TTTGGGAAGCGGTAGAGATGCCTGGAAGACACTCAGGTCACAAACTTAAGATGTATGTATTGTAAGAAAAAAAAGAGTAAAATTATAATCATTATTGTCAGCCTATTACTTGTCAAATGAGTTTATGCCTATTTTATGTAAAACTCTTTTCTTTCATACTAATGTGTGCAGAGCCTACTTCTTTTTTTTCATTGTGAAAGTCTGCATTTATTTTCTAACGAATCTGAGTATTTCTAGCTTCCATTCGTATTTAAGGTAAAAATAAATCTCTAGTTCATCCTTTAGACAAATTCGTGTTCCGGAAATGTGCTAATTATTTGTAGATGACGTCAGCGATTATCAAAATAGACACGCTAAAAATAAATAACAGTAAAACCCGTCGGCTTAAAATAGATTTTTATGCTTTAATAACATCTCTGGGTTAAGGAAATCCTCTCAACCCATTAACCACCGTTGGGTTATTAAATCCCATAATGCCTTTCTCCGAAGAGATATCACTGTGGTTATTTTTTCTCCTCCTAGAGCTAGCCTTGATCTATTCACACCGACCATTAGAATAACTAGTTATCATTTTATGTGTGAGACATGATAAAATGACGAGGGACGGAAATAGAGAAATGCATAGAGGTCTGAGCTTTTCTTTGTTCGTCGTGAACGTTCGCGTTTATGTAGGTGTGGGGGGGGGGGGGTGTGGTTGAATCAATGCATGCTCACTTCTCATGCAGATGGTCAGTGGTGTAGTTGTTGTTTTTTTATTTAAAATGTAAAAATTTCTAACTGTAATTTGACGGTTTTATATCTGACAGAAACCCTGCCCTGCCCTTCCCTCTCCCTCCCCCCCCCCCCATCCGAGTTTCAAACTTGACCTTAATTCAGTTTGAAAATAATATAATTTTATAATTTCTATCGTCATATTTTGACCTTTATTGCTCATTTTTGGCTTCAATTGTATTCTAAGTTAAGTTGTCTCCCTTGTTCTATTTAGAGTCTAGTCATCTCCCTTTGTTTCTATTTTTACTTAAAGTGTTCCCATCGTTCTCGATGATCGATTGAGTTTCCTATTGTTTAAGTGAGTATGTTATGATGTCTTCACTCCGTCCCCCAAGCCATCCTATTGTTTAAGTGAGTATGTTATGATGTCTTCACTCCGTCCCCCAAACCATCCTATTGTTTAAGTGAGTATGTTATGATGTCTTCACTCCGTCCCCCAAACCATCCTATTGTTTAAGTGAGTATTGTATGATGTCTTCACTCCGTCCCCCAAACCATCCTATTGTTTAAGTAAGTATGTTATGATGTCTTCAGTCCGTCCCCCAAACCATCCTATTGTTTAAGTGAGTATGTTATGATGTCTTCACTCCGTCCCCCAAACCATCCTATTGTTTAAGTGAGTATGTTATGATGTCTTCACTCCGTCCCCCAAACCATCCTATTGTTTAAGTGAGTATGTTATGATGTCTTCACTCCGTCCCCCAAACCATCCTATTGTTTAAGTGAGTATGTTATGATGTCTTCACTCCGTCCCCCAAACCATCCTATTGTTTAAGTGAGTATTGTATGATGTCTTCACTCCGTCCCCCAAACCATCCTATTGTTTAAGTGAGTATGTTATGATGTCTTCACTCCGTCCCCCAAACCATCCTATTGTTTAAGTGAGTATGTTATGATGTCTTCACTCCGTCCCCCAAATCATCCTATTGTTTAAGTGAGTATTGTATGATGTCTTCACTCCGTCCCCCAAACCATCCTATTGTTTAAGTGAGTATGTTATGATGTCTTCACTCCGTCCCCCAAACCATCCTATTGTTTAAGTGAGTATGTTATGATGTCTTCACTCCGTCCCCCAAACCATCCTATTGTTTAAGTGAGTATGTTATGATGTCTTCACTCCGTCCCCCAAACCATCCTATTGTTTAAGTGAGTATGTTATGATGTCTTCACTCCGTCCCCCAAACCATCCTATTGTTTAAGTGAGTATGTTATGATGTCTTCACTCCGTCCCCCAAACCTTCCTATTGTTTAAGTGAGTATATTATTATGATATCTTCACTCTGTTCCCCCAAACCTTTATTCAACAATTGTTATTTTAAATTGGAGACGGTGTGTTTTTGCTTAAACTATTCATGGTTTGTTTTTTGTTTTTTTTTTGTGTTTTATTTCCTCTCAAATGTGAAAAGCTGTCAGACTTCCGAGTATACGGTAAACTTGATTTCGTCAAAAGCTACAACGACTGACATTACGCTGACGAAATCAATTCACTAATTGAGTTGACTAATTACGCTCAACGATTACGTTGATCGATTAAAATGACCAATTAAGTTGACCAGAAATCGACCAATTAGGTCTCTCATTTTTTTTCTCTTACAGAACTTCACAGATCGTTTGTAATCTAATCTTTCACAAGTTTGCCCGTGAACGGAAGGAAAGGAGGGGGTGGGGGAACCAAAGTATGACATAGACTGGCGTAAGACCAGGTAAGGAACTATTCCAGATCCGACGACCTAACATGGAGTTGGATTGGAGACAGAGGCGTAGCGACGGTGGTGGGGGGTACACATTTCCCCGGGCGCCACCCATAGTGGTGCCAAAATATGCTCATTTTAGCTGCTATTTTGAATTATAATTATAAATATAAAAAATATAGGGGGGGGGGCGCCAAATTGAACGTTTGCCCCCGGGCGCCCGGAGGGGTCGATACGCCTCTGATTGGAGATTGTGTAATGATTTCATTGACACAAACTTATGTGTGGTCCCTCCTTCTTCTTCGTTCTTGATTGAAAAATCGGAGGGGATCAAGAAATAAGTCCAATATCACAGTTTTCGTCCAAACTAGTTAGTTAGGCAGTGCATATTTTTTTCAAAAACAGACGACGATGAAATATTTCTGCTGCACTGGCTACACTTCGGGTCAACTTTTGGAACAAACGAAGATGAAATGCACAGAATGATTTCAGCTAGACAGGCTAGACCGCAAAAGAAACATAAAATGAAAACAGGCCAAGCGTGAAATCTAGCAGCGTGCTCTTTGATGCCAATATGTCTTCGACGTCAACAAGAAGCCTGTAGATCTACGTCTTTTGGTTCTTTATGGCTTTCTCTGGAATCTGATTGTTATTGTTTTTCTGGGTATTTTTATCAATATGTGTTTTAGCTGATGTATGTACAAGAAATTAAAGACCTGTTATAGAGTTTAAAAAGTGTTTGATGACATACAACCGATTAAATGTGTGGAATAACTAATAAGAGAATTATTAAAATTAACTAGAACTTTGCGTTTCTGGTTTCGTTTGCTGTGGTTTATTTTAGAGAGGTGAGAAAAAGTTTGGGGAAAAAATGTTGAGGATTACGTATATTTTTTTTTAAATTCAAGTTTAATCATGAGCCCTAAATTATTGCGATATGTTGGGAGGGAGGGGGTATTTGTATAGCTCTTGCTACGTTATGTATTGTTAATTATTGTTACGTCCCTTGTTATTATGTATATCGTAGTTACGTCCCTTGTTTATCGTGTAGCTGGAGTGTTCCTGTGAGTTAGTTAACTACAGATAGAGCAGAGACAAGACGTGTCGTCTATGCTGTCTGTAATAATAAAGTACAAGGTTAACTCAGAGAACTGTTTATTTAAGTAATGTTACAGCTCTGACATTTTTTTTGTTCGCCATTTGTGCTGATTAAAACAGATTTTTAAAAATTCAGTACAGGTTGTAGGGTCCCTGAGTCCACCCAGCTCTAATGGGTACCCAACTCATGTTAGTGAAAGTAAAGGCAGCTGGGCATAGTGCTGACCACACTATCCCTTTAAATGTCACATGGACAGTCAGGTTCGAAAAGGGAGCTTAACTTTTAACAGACTGATGCAGAGTGTATCTGTTTTCTTTGACTTTGATGTAGGAAGGAAATATATGATTAAATGTATGTTAAGATTTCAATTTTTTTTTCTCTAAACTCTTTATACTATAGTGACAGTTAAGTCACGGACTGAATGAAATAGCCAATCAAAGAAATGGAAATAAAATAACATTTTTATTTACCTTGTCTTGAAAAGTACGAAACCGAATTAGTTGTTGAAACCCATTCCCTTCTGAATAATGAGCACACTTTTGTAACCGATTATATTCTAATCTCTTTGATCTAAGAGTTTTATTTGAAAGTTCTTTAGGAAAGACGAATTGGAGCTTAAATTACACAGAGAAAATACTGAGTAGACAAGGGGTCGGCATGGTCGAGTCGGTAAAGCTCATGGTTGCTAAACCGAAAAGTCTCGAGTTCGAACCCTTGCTGCCTTGTAGTTTGAAATCGGAGTCAATGGCCTCAATGGCGCATAACCAGTTGATACGTATCCCTAATTGTGCAGGCGTGGTCGAGTCGGCAAAGCTCATGGTTATAAATTCGAAAAAAAAAGTCTCGAGTTCAAACCCTCTGGCAGATAAGGCTCGATCCCTTCCAACACTAAAAATAAAGAACGAAGAAGAAAAAGAAGAAGAATGAGTATACAACAATTATTGTAACCGTATCAATTATTCAATGCCGTTGTTTTTAGGTTAGGCTGGTGTGTATGCAGGAAGACGTGGTAAACCACTTTTTTTATTCTTCCACATAGTATGTTGGGTATCTGCTAAAGCTGAGACGCCTCAATGAAACTCTTCCGTGACTAGTATTAGACTCACGCCTATGCTTTGATTAGTTTAAAGTGAAGGAGTCTCGAACGATGTCACATAGGCACGTCGCTATAGGGCTGGTAAGTAGGTCACCAACCAGTTCTGAGGCTCAATAAAACCTGCCTGAGCCGTAGAACTATTTGGTGACCTACTTACCAGCCCTATAGGACTTAGACCCCTGCCTTCTATAGTAGCTCAAAGACCTTCAGCTCGTCGAAGACTTCAAAAGACACTTCCTGTTCAGTCTGGTTTCGATCCTGCACCCTGCAATACTCTATTGTTATCTATAATAAAAGTTAGTGATGTGCTTGCAACAGTATTTTAAAAAATCAACACAAAACATAATGAAATAATATTTTATTTATTTTACTAATAAATATTCCAGGATCTGACCAGTACAAAGCATCAAATGGCTCACATTGAACCTTAACAGATGCATATAAAGCTACAGACAGTTTTTTTGTTATATAGGTGGGATGAAAAGGTTGGGGTAGGGGGGGGGTCAAAGGTATTTGAATCACGTGACACACAAGCATGCAGCAGACGTGACCTAACCCAGATACTGACTCACACGTACCTGGTGGTATAAGGTGTGAAACAATGACTTTAGAAACGAAAAGACATGGACCCATTTATTTTTATTTATTAAGTTTTTGGTTTTTTCATCTTTCAACACTATAATAATTTTGAAGAAAACAAAGAGATCTTATACTAGATTAAACCAAAATAAACCAAAGAGCTCTTACACTAGACGAAAAATAAAACAAAGACCTCTTATACTAGACCAAACTAAAATAAAACAAAAGATCTTATACTAAACCAAACTAAAACAAAGAGATATTATACTAGACCAAACTAAAATAAAACAAGACTCCTTAACCAGGATTATTTTTTTAAAAATATGATTGACCGGTAGCTCTTAGCTGGGATAACACAGTCATAAGCATCTGAGATTACAATCTCTACTTATAGTTAAGGTTAAAGAAAATTTATTACGCTTAGTTTTGTCATATAAAGACGCTCTCTTATGTAGGAATTAACGGAAGAATAATTTTTATTTTTATCCAGAAAAAGAAAAAACAAAATCAATGAAAGGGGAGTTAATTATTTAGGATATGGGGAGTCGAGAATATTTGAATTACATCCCTGGAGGGCGTTCATGTTTTAAGTGATTCTTGACTTCAATTTTCTACAAACCTACACACGGAAAATATATGTGCATTGGGTGGGTGGGGGAGGGGGGTTACACTTTGAGGTGGGTGTGGGGTTGGTGGGTTCGTCTCTTAAAGATAAATAAAAAGGGTTGCTAATTCAAGTGTTACATCCAACAAAAATACAAAAACAAAATACTGCAAAAGTAAAATTACACTTAGATTTAATTATATAATTAATATTACATGGCTATAGGAATCTACTAATTTGATATATAATATTATGATGTTGATAGACAAATATATATCTAAGCGTATACATATATATATATATATATATATATATATATATATATATATATATATATATATATATATATATATATATATATATATCAATATATGCATTCACGTACGTATACAGTATACGTTTACACACACACACACATACACACACACACACATATATATATATATATATATATATATATATATATATATATATATATATATATATATATAGGCCTATATATATATATAACACAAGACACACGTCACATACACATGCGATCGCCCTGCTACTAATTTTTGTCACTTTGGTATTGAGTAGATATAAATACACGCTATAGATATTTACACATGTAATTTTAACTTGCACTATTATACACTGGGTTGTTGCCTCGCTGGATTGTATGTTTTCTAACCGTTGTTGTATACACTATCTACTGCAAAGGGAAATAAGAACGGCAGAAAAAAAAAAGCATCGTTGTTTTCCTTGAATGGATTTTTTTGAGTGGATTTGGGTTCGAATCCCATTAGATAACATGCGGCCTACAAACAGACAGTATCGTCATTCTTGTAGAACATCGCTATGAGTTGTGTTTGGTAAAGTTTATAGTAATGCAACTATGGCATACGATTTTATCGTGTCTGTCAAAGACTATCGTTGTAAAAATATGTCATACTATTTAATTGTGTCTGTTACGGTTTATCATAATAAAAATATGCCATACTATTTTATTGTGTCTGTTACAGTTTATCATAATAAAAATATGCTATACTATTTTATTGTGTCTGTTGCAGTTTATCATAATAAAAATATGCCATACTACTTAATTGTGTCTGTTAAAGTTTATCATAATAAAAATATGCCATACTATTATATTGTGTCTGTTACAGTTTATCATAATAAAAATATGCCATACTATTTTAAATCTTCTGTAGTAGACAACTACGATATAATTTCTTACTACAGGGCTTGGGTCATTTTCTAAATAAGAATCACTCGTACTGGACACACGTTTAATGAATTACTAAAGTTCTTATGTCTCTATCTAAATATAAATGCAAGGAGCCGGTCATACGCAGCGCTAATTTATAACAAATGCAGAATACAATCAACGTGTTGGATATAATCTCTAAACGGAGATGTATAAAAACAATTCATTTTACGCTTTACCGGTTAGTAAAATTTAATTAAACAGTGTCATCTTCACATCCCAAATGTCAACTGTCATTCAGTCATCGCAGATGTCACCAGTACCTAAGTCATCACAAATGCCACCCGAAGCTTCATATAAAAACATCAACAAACAAAACATCGCAACAACAGAAAAAAAAGCCTTTAAAATTTCAGTAGATGAGCGTTTGCTCTACACTATGGCAAACAGGTCTGTAACTTGAACTGATAAACTAAAGGCATAAAAACATGCCATTTTGTATTCGGTAGTGTAGACAGAGAAAAATGCACATTGATGTAGACGAGTAACGTTGTATTATGATTCCTACTGTGGCGACCTAACCTCTTCATTCCCTTCTGGAAATTTCTAAATAATGCCATCCATAGACATATATATATATATATATATATATATATATATATATATATATATATATATATATGTAAATACATATATACATATTTTATATGTGTGTATATATATATAAATATATATACACATATATACATATACATATATATACATGTATATATATATATATATAACATATATGTATATATCCTTCGTTTAAAACAATTCGCCCAATATTTTTAGATTGGTTACATTAGATTAGAAAAAAAAATTTAGTTTTTCTTAAGTTTCTTTTTGTTCTTGTTCCACTTGCGGGTGAGGATGCGATGCTTGGAGCTCTTGAAGTCCCGGTACTTCCTGCCCGTGTTATGCTCCAGCTCCATGTAGCTCTCGATCTTGTTCAGGTTGTGTCGCTCAGCGTGTTCGCGCCTCTGTCGTCGTCTGCCCCGTCTGGCGCGCAGTTGTCTCTTGCCCCGTGGGTTGTTTCTGGGAGGGGGAGGGTGACAGAAGATTTAGATAGGTGAGTTGAACTACTAGATGATGGTTCTTGATACAGCTAATGGTTCTTGACATAGCTAATGGTTCTGTAACTACTAGCTAATGGTTCTTGAACTACTAGCTGATGTTTCTGTAACTACTAGCTAATGGTTCTTGAACTAACAAGCTGATGGTTCTTCTTGAACTGCTAGCTAATGGTTCTGTAACTACTAATCGATGGTTCTTGAACTGCTAGCTGATGGTTTTCTAACTACTAACTGATGGTTCTTGAGCTACTAACTGATGGTTCTTGAATAACTAGCTGATGGTGCTGTAACTACTAGCTGATGGTTCTTGAACTGCTAGCTGATGGTTCTCTAACTACTAACTGATGGTTCTTGAATAACTAACTGATGGTTCTTGAATAACTAACTGATGGTTCTTGAGCTACTAACTGATGGTTCTTGAATAACTAGCTGATGGTTCTTGAACTACTAACTGATGGTTCTTGAATAACTAGCTGATGGTTCTTGAACTACTAACTGATGGTTCTTGAATAACTAGCTGGTGGTTCTTGAACTACTAACTGATGGTTCTTGAATAACTAGCTGATGGTTCTGTAACTACTACCTTCTAGCTGCTAAAATCTAGCTGACGATAGGTACATAAAGGGTGGACTGGCCCGCCGGTCTATCGGAAAAAATCCCGGTGTATCCCCAAACGGTGCTGTGCTAGGCCTATTTGTTCTTTGATTTTTTAGTTTAAATTACATTTTTTGGTACTTCTCTATTGTACTTTCCACCATGTTAAAGCGTAAAATTCAATTAAATGGGGGTAAATATACACAAAGTTTCAATGTGAAGTTGGGACAGCATTAAAAATGTCCCTTGCCTCTTAGAAACAGCCAGTCTATCCCAGGGTAGATAGCCTCGACAGAGGTTGGGTCAATGCCCCCCACACACACACCTCTCCCCCTCAACCTACCTGTTTCTCTGCCTGCGGTTTGCGTACAGGAGAGTGCTGAGAGCCTCGTCCCCGCTGACCCTTCCCCCCCCCCCTCCCACACCTCTTCCCCTCAACCTACCTGTTTCTCTGCCTGCGGTTTGCGTACAGGAGAGTGCTGAGAGCCTCGTCCCCGCTGATCCTCCCCCACACGCCGATCACCGAGTCCTCGATCTGACTCTCGTCACCGCCCCGGAGAATCCTGAAGTAGCCTTTCTCACCCCAGTCGGTGCCCCAGGAGTTGGCGCAGATCTGGAAGTGGTCAGAGCGTGGTAAGAATGGTATAAACATTTCAGTCATGTAACATATATATCGAGAATCTGGGGATCTGATAGGGGTAATACATCTGTCATGTAAACAATATATCAAGGATCTGGGGTTCAGTTAGGGGTAAAAATCTGTCATGTAATCAGGGATCTGAGGTTCTGTTAGGGGTAAAACATCTGTCATGTAAACAATGTATCAAGGATCTCGGGTTTTGTTAGGGGTAACACATCTGTCATGCAAACAATATATCAAGGATCTGGGGGCTCTGTTAGGGGTAACACATCTGTCAAGTAAACAATAGATCAAGGAATTGAAGTTCTGTTAAGGGTAACACAGAGATTATATAGACAATATATAAAGAATTTAGGATCAGTTTGTTTCACAGGAGTCGTGTAAGTAATAGACCAAGGACATTGGGATCAGATGGGAACACAGGGGTGTTATAAGTAATTGACCAGGGACCTGGGAGTCGGTGGGGGGGGGGGTCATTCAAGGGTCTTGTATGCAACAAAACAGGTCCCTCTAGGTACAGATATTCATGTAGATCCAACTAGAGTAGTAGGCATACAAATTGTATAGAGGCTGACCACATATAAAATTGTATAGAGGCTGACCACATATAAAATTGTATAGAGGCTGACCACATATAAAATTGTATAGAGGCTGACCACATATAAAATTGTATAGAGGCTGACCACATATAAAATTGTATAGAGGCTGACCACATATAAAATTGTATAGAGGCTGACCACATATAAAATTGTATAGAGGCTGACCACATATAAAATTGTATAGAGGCTGACCACATATAAAATTGTATAGAGGCTGACAACATATAAAATTGTATAGAGGCTGACAACATATAAAATTGTATAGAGGCTGGCAACATATAAAATTGTATAGAGGCTGACAACATATAAAATTGTATAGAGGCTGGCAATATACAATTGTATAGAGGCTGACAACATATAAAATTGTATAGAGGCTGGCAACATATAAAATTGTATAGAGGCTGACAACATATAAAATAGTATAGAGGCTGACAACATATAAAATTGTATAGAGGCTGACAACATATAAAATTGTATAGAGGCTGACAACATATAAAATAGTATAGAGGCTGACAACATATACAATTGTATAGAGGCTGACAACATATAAAATTGTATAGAGGCTGGCAATATACAATTGTATAGAGGCTGACAACATATAAAATTGTATAGAGGCTGGCAACATATAAAATTGTATAGAGGCTGACAACATATAAAATAGTATAGAGGCTGACAACATATAAAATTGTATAGAGGCTGACAACATATAAAATTGTATAGAGGCTGACAACATATAAAATAGTATAGAGGCTGACAACATATACAATTGTATAGAGGCTGACAACATATAAAATTGTATAGAGGCTGACAACATATAAAATAGTATAGAGGCTGACAACATATAAAATTGTATAGAGGCTGACAACATATAAAATAGTATAGAGGCTGACAACATATAAAATTGTATAGAGGCTGACAACATATAAAATTGTATAGAGGCTGGCAACATATAAAATTGTATTTCAAAAATAAAACGAGACTACACTGACGTACGGTACATACAATCTTCACATTAAAATGGCTAGCCTGTAACAGTGGCGTAGCTACCGTAAAGCTAGCTTAAGCAAGGCATAGGGGCCCAAGGCAAATAGGGGCCCTTTTTTGAAAGTTTTAGGGGGGGGTGCAAATCGAAAGTTTGAGGGGAGGTGCAAGTCGAAAGTCTGAGGGGGGGGGGGGTGCAAATCGAAAGTCGCTAACACTTTTTTCATAGGGGCCCAAGAATCCTAGCTACGCCACTGGCCTGTAAATAGTTGGCAGTTGCCTAAAAACCCATTCTGCTACTAGCTTCCATGCCCCATGTTTTTCATGCAATTAGTTCCCTTTTCGAAACGAATGCTCAAGTAGAGTTCACCTGTTACTGTAACCTCGGCATATATGATATAGTTTGGTGAGCACTATGCCCAGCCGCTTTTACTTTCCTTAACGTGTGTTAGGTACCCATCAGAGCGAGGTGGGCTCAGTTGAACTGATTCGTACTCGATACTTTGGTGTTATTAGACTAGCACTCAACCGCTAGACTACGCCGTCCCTTTCTCCGTAACACATAAATGACTAAAGTTTATGAAATTCCCATGAAACTTTAACCCATTTTCTATTTACAACTAGAAAGCTGGAATTATCACTGTAGAATACAGTAGATGTCAACAGTAATACTCACCCAGTATTTGATTATGTCCCCTTCAAAATTTCTCTCCACTCCCCATCTGTGTAATGGTAGAAAGTTATAAGAATAGACGTTTTTTTTTAAAATATTTATTTGTTTCCTTTCTAAAATTCTCGTTCATATGCTTCTAAATAACATCAAAACACCATCCACCATCCACTAAGAGCACCAGCAACACACCAGCAACACACCACCAACACACCACTGACCCAATAATCCTGACCGAATGGACGCCATCAACACACCACCAAACCACCACACAAACACCACCAACACACCACCAACACACCACCAACACACCACCTACACACCACCAACACACCACCAACACACAACACACCACCTTCCCACACTGACCCAATAATCCTGACCGAATGGACGCCAGACTTGAGATTTTTATCTGGTTCGTTCTTCCTCTTGACGATGTTGGTGTAGCGGTAGATACCGTGGCTGTAGAGGAAGAAATCTTCCTTCACCAACATAACGGCTGGAGGAACAAAAATATCATTTCAATCAATTTTTTTTTCACTGTAATGGATTTGTTTCAATTATTGTTTATAATCATTGCAAATTTCGTCTCAACTTATGCCAGCCAATATATTATAATTTGTGCTATTTACGAAATTGATTTAAGCTGTTTTTTTTAATTTATATATTTAGTTGTATAGATAGAAACGTGTTCTGAAATATAAAAAAATAAACGGATTCAGGGGACGCTACCTTGAACTGGACCATTTTCCATAATTTCGATCATTATCTCCCTTTCCTGAAAAAAAACAAATAATGTTATAAATAGCTAATACAGCCAAATCTTTTGTTAAAAAAGAGATATCGTTAGCAGTAATAGAGTGATTCTACTAAATGTGTTTATATTAACAAGATTGGGGGGGGGGGGGGGGGGGGTGGACATTATCGTTAATAATTTGTATCAGGAAACGGTGTTTGGGCCCTTAAAAATACAAGGACAGAGAAATGGAATATCTCTACGCCATCGAAAGGGTAATTTTTACAGTAAAATCCAGTTTATATATAGAAAACATACGGTGTCTTAAAAACGTAAAACAACTTTGTAGCTGTATTAAGCTTTTTAACTTTTTTTTTAAATTTCTGTGTAGCGTTTCGTTACGCCTTTCAAAGAACTAAACATTACTCCTTTCTTTACCCTATACACCTACCCTCCCCCTCCCTTTTTCAATTAAATTCAACCATTCCCCTTCATCCATCACCCGTCACACCAATTAACTTACCATTATCCATGCGGCTCACACCTAGTTAACCAACATACCCGACGACGAAACTTAACTTACTACCCACACAATCCTAAACACCAAATTTTCCTACCCTTACACCAACGTTTTCCCACCGCCACCACCAATTTTAGCCACCCCCTCTACCTTAAATACCAAATTTTGCCACCCCGACCCCACAATTTTCCAACCCCCACCACTAGACTCCCCAACCCACCACTAGACTCCCCAACCCACCACAAGACTACCCACCCCCACCACTCCCCCCACCACTCCCCCCACCACTCCCCCCACCTACCTCACTAGTCTCCCCACCCCCACCACTAGTCTCCCCACTGCCACCACTAGACCCCCACCCCCCCTACCCCACTTTCCACCAATACTTACCGACGGCCGGATCCTGTAGGGCGGGGTGGACATGAAACGTTTCCCTACTTTGTACTCCCGTCCACTCGGACACCTGGGGTTGGCTCCAGAGATCAGGCACTGGGGCTTGACGCCTGGGGGCGGGACGGTGTAGGGGTAGCACTCCTCACTCACCACTCTGTGGACACAGGATCAAACCTAATCAGGTACTTCCTCATTACCCCCGCCCGTGTATGTATAAAACTCGTGTCAACACAACTAACAACCTCACCAGAATGTTACCTAGATCTATTCGCGGATTAGTAATTTTATTTAAAAGTGAATTATGTAATAAATCGTTTCTTTGATTATAAGCCTTAACTATCACAAAAGCTAACCTTGACTCGAAACTCAACTGTAAAAAAATTATTTTAAAATAAAACCACCCTGAAAGAAAACTGTATTCAAACTGTAAACTTACATGTTAATTAAACCGTAATTTCACTACCCCTCCCCTTCCGCATTCCCGAATTATTTTGTATTTTGTAACGCGAACACAACACACTCACATACACCTATGCATTGTAAAAACTCACAGCCAAATTTTCTGAGGTGTCACCAGGTCAACTCCACGTGCTCATCTATCAAAGTCTGACCCCCAAGCCCACACAACCACACTCTCACACATGCAGTACCATCAGGCCTTGTCCAAGAGTTCAGCCATCAAATCTGCCACCCCCCCCTCCACAAACTCACACGCTGACCCATGTTTTGTAAAGTACTACCAAGCCCCTGTCTAAGTGTCCATCTATCTAACCTCGAACCTCCCCCCCCCCACACACACACAAGCACACACACACACACACACACCGACCCATGTTTCCTGAGGTACCACCAGGCCCTGTCCAAGTGTCCCACACAACCCCTTCGCCCCACCCCCACCCCCATACACACACTGACCGATGTTTCCTGAGGTACCACCAGGCCCTGTCCAAGTGTCCCACACAACCCCTTCCCCCCACCCACCCCCCCCCCCCCACACACACACTGACCCATGTTTCCTGAGGTACCACCAGGCCCTGTCCAAGTGTCCCACACAACCCCTTCCCCCCACCCACCCCCCCCCCACACACACACACTGACCCATGTTTCCTGAGGTACCACCAGGCCCTGTCCAGGTGTCCACCACACCCCCCACACACACACAACCAACACACACACACACACTGACCCATGTTTCCTGAGGTACCACCAGGCACTGTCCAAGTGTCCCCCCCCCCCACACCCCCCCCCCCACACACACTGACCCATGTTTCATGAGGTACCACCAGGCACTGTCCAAGTGTCCCCCCCCACACCCCCCCCCCACACACACTGACCAATGTTTCCTGAGGTACCACCAGGCACTGTCCAAGTGTCCCCCCCACACCCCACAACACACACACAGAGCCATGTTTCCTGAGGTACCACCAGGCACTGTCCAAGTGTCCCCCACACACCCACCCCCACACACACACACTGACCCATGTTTCCTGAGGTACCACCAGGCACTGTCCAAGTGTCCCCCCCACACCCCCCCCACACACACACACACTGACCCATGTTTCCTGAGGTACCACCAGGCACTGTCCAAGTGTCCCCCCCACACCCCCCCCACACACACTGACCCATGTTTCCTGAGGTACCACCACGCCCTGTCCAAGTGTCCCACACCCCCTCCCCCCCACACACAACCAACAAACACAACCAACACACACACACACACTGACCCATGTTTCCTGAGGTACCACCAGGCCCTGTCCAAGTGTCCCACCCCCCCCCCCTGCCCCAACTCCCCCCCCCCCACACACACACACAAATACTGACCCATGTTTCCTCAGATACCACCAGGCCCTGTCCAAGTGTCCACCTTCACACGCCGTCTGGAAGTGTGTGTTACAGGAGAGCAGATGCTGCACCGACAGCTGGTCTTTGATGGCACCGTCCGTCTCTATACTCAGCCTGTCGGCCAAGACAGCTGGAGGGATAGAAGGGGGATAACTATAGCAACTATTATCAATGCTCAGTCTTTATGTTAAGTGCGGCGATAAAACCAAAGGGAAAGAACTACAGCTACCATTATCAATACTCAGTCTATGCCAATACCAAGGATAAAACAAAACATAAGGGAGAGAACTACAGTTACCAAATGCACACAGTGGTAAAATTTTTAGGTTTTTAGTTTAATTTTTTATTATAACTGACAATTTAGAAAAAGGTTAGGACAATGTTTGATTATTTTCACTAAAGAATAATGTTATAGATAATGACATGGGGAGCAATGCACCCTTAGGCAAAAGTGATAAGCTAACGCTTATGATACCCAACACATTTGGGGTTCAAGTATTGTTTAGGATGAGAATTCTGTCAGGAATCGGATTTAAGTCCAGTACTTTAGTTTAGTTAGTGCTGCCCTTACAGTTTTAGAAATCGGAAAAGTGTTAGTGCTAGTTATGACAATCGTAGGTGTAGAGGGTTTCTTTTTTTTTTCTTTTTTTTTTTTTTATTTATTTTTTTTTTTTTTTTTTGCTGTATTTATTTATCTAAAGAAAAATTACATTAAGCTTAGGTAGACTTTCTTAGGGGGGGGGGGGGCGACACTGTTAAAAGCATATAATTTTTATATAAATTTCATTTCGTTCGGGGGGGGGGGGGGGCGATAGACTTTCTTCGTGGGGGCTCCGAAGAGATGCCTGGAAGAAACTCTGACCCCGCCATGTACCTGTGGTCGAGTGGGCCCACGACGAGCCACAGTTCCCCTGGTCCGTGATGGGGTGTATCAGCCCGGGCCATTTCTCGCGGGCGTCGAACCTCTCGGGGATCGTCTCGACGGGCACCTTGATGGGCGTCATGTCCACCACGTTCTGTGCCAGCTGGAAGGTGCCCAGTCTGTAGCGGACCCCATCGTCCAGGGTCAGGCCCCAGAGCTTTGATTGATTGCGGGCCTTCCACCTATATCACGTGACAAGAACCTCATGCAGGCATTACTCGTTCTAAATATAACTTTTTTTCTTTTTTTATTTACTTATATATGTATGTATATATATATATATATATATATATATATATATATATATATATATATATATATATATATATATATTAACTATACACATATATATATATATATATATATATATATATATTAACTATACATATATATATATATATATATATATATATATATATATATATGGTTAATATATATATATATATATATAAACTATATATATATATATATATATGTATAGTTAATATATATATATATATATATATATATATATATATATATATATATATATTATATATATATATATATTAACTATATATATATATATATATATTAACTATATATATATATATATATATATATATATATATATATATATATATATATATATATATATATATATATATATATATATATATATATATATATAATTTTCAAAATTGCATTTTTTGGCTCATTTCAAAAATATTTTTTTCACAGCTTTTATTAACTTAATTAACAATATAAAAATAACTAAATCTATATAGAATTTATTTTCAAAGTTGCGTTTATTTATTATAAGTAAGCTATATATTAAAAAAATAGAGGCGCGTGACTTACGTAAAGGGACCGTCGTTGATGGCGTCTATAATTTCTGGTCGTATAAGACAGACGTGGTTGGTGCACTGCCACTCGTAGCGTGAGTACGGCTGGGTGTAGAGCTCACAGGTGCTGGGGGTGAGAGGGGACAGGTGGGGTGACACGTGGGGTTACAGGTTTTATGACAGGTGGGGGTGACACGTGGGGTCACAGGTTTTATGACAGGTGTGGTGACACGTGGGGTTACAGGTTTTATGACAGGTGTGGGTATATATGTGTGCGTGTGTGTGTATATGTGTTTGAGTGAGTGCGTGTGTGTTTATGTGTGTGGGAGAGAGTGTTTGTGTGTTTATGTATGTGGGAGAGAGTGTGTGTGTGTGCGCGCACGTGCGCTCGTGCGTGCGTGCGTGCGTGTGTGTGTATGTGTGTGTGTGTGCGTTTGTGTAGAGTACTTGTGTGTATTTGTATTAGTCTTCGTGTGTAAGTATATTTGTATGTCTATCTAAATTGACAAAACGTAGGATTAAATAACATTGATGTTGGTTTTTTTTATAAATAATGTGAAGAAACCTCTGTTTTTAAAAATTATTATTATTCATTTATTATGTAACCCGAGTAAATGTGCCCTATTGTTAAGTATCCGTCTTTCTATCTTTCTACTTGTAACGCTGTCTAGCTGTACATGTCTATATGTCTCTACCTCTGTTTACCTATCTGGTTACCTATCCATCTGTCTGTCTGACTATCTGTTTGTCTGCCTATCTATTTGTCTGTCTTTCTATTTATCAAGTGTCTGTCTACCTATCTGTCTGTCTTTCTGTTTATTATTCTATTCATCAATCTCTGTCTACCTATTTACCTATCCGTCTCTCTGTCTACCTGTCTATCTATCCGTCTGTCTATCTAGTGTTCCCCCCTGCACTATATCACGGATGTATATCTAACCGACACCACCTTGACGTATTTTCCCGCCTTCTGCCCGTGTTTCCTATAAAGGTCAACAACTTACAACAACAAGGGGAGCTAAATAATGTTACCTCCCTTGTCTGGGCTCCACTCAAATGTCAGCGGGAAATAGAAAACTGTTGGGATATTCCTTCAGATTTCTTTCCAAATACCTCTGGATAGATTCTAGTTTTAACGTCTAATTTTAAATATAAGCTGACACGTGTTGCATACCCTTCCCCCCTACGATAAACCAGTTGGAATTATTTTCAGAGGTATTTTAATTGAACTGTCAAGATAAATTAAGGAGACATATTTTCTGTTATGTTTTTATTTAATATATAGAAATTGTTTATTTCAATGCTTACAATAAAATGAAATTTCATTGTTCTTTTTTTTTTTTTAGTAAGAAATGTATCTTTTTAAAAATGTTATTGTTCAGGTAGGTAAGGGAAATAACCAAACTCACTTACCATTTATTGCAGTTATCCTTAATTGCGTCCCCTGGTTGATATCCTTTGCCATTTTTGGTACACGCCGCTGAAAGAAAATGAAATAAAAACAACTAACATTTTGTATTAAAGTATTTATATTATGTATTTATATTTATAACATAACACAACAGGATGCTCAGATTCATCGGATGTACATGCCGAGGTTAAAATGATGAAATCCACTGAGCGTTGGCAAAATTAGAACATACAAATAACATCAAGTTTACACAGAGAATATGTGGCGTCAATAGGTCGGGTATCACCCGGTAACGAAAAAAAGTATAAATAAATATAAACAAATGTTTACATGAATGTGCGTGTGTGTGTGCGCGCGCGCGCGAGCTCAGTGTGTGTTTTCCTGTGCGTGTTCAAGAGAAAGAATATTTGTGGTGTGTCTATGTGAATATATATATATATATATATATATATATATATATATATATATATATATATATTTATATATATATATATATATATATATATATATAGGCCTATATATATATATATATATATATATATATATATATATATATATATATATATATATATATATATATATATATATATATATAGGCCTATATATATATATATATATATATATATATATATATATATATATATATATATATATATATATATATATATAGGCCTATATATATATATATATATATATATATATATATATATATATATATATATATATATATATATATATATCGTTTTCAAATTGTTCTTTATACATACATAACAGAAAAGCAGATATTACAGTATTGCAGTTATTGTCAAGTTTAAATAAGGTGACAATGCAATGAATCGGCGCATGGGTCAGAAATGTGCTACAGCGGCACTGGGGGTGAGAGGGTTAAGCCCTAGTACTCTTGTGCGCACCGCATTAAGAGAGTTACATTCGTGTATCCACAGAGGGCGAGGGGGAGGGGGCGACACCGACACACGGTAGATAACGAAATACATACCGCCAAAACAGGGAGGGGGGGGGGGAAGGGGGGAACGGAAACCAGGCTGGTAGAAAAATCAGACACCCGGTGTCGTACCGTGGGAGGCACGTGCCGACACTGCACGTGCATCCACTTGGACACACTCCACCGTGCTCAGTACATCCACCCTCGTAGATGTGTACAACGACGATATAAAAGTCTCAACCTTTTGTTACTCGGGGAAAGCTAATTTTACGGAAATTCCCGTTTCTTTTTTTTTTTTTAGCATGCAAGGTACATAACTCTGTTTTTAATCAGGTTTGGGAAAAACAACTTTTTTTCTTCTGCTGAATTGTCATCATTAATTTACTAGATAATATAATTATCAGAACACTTTTCCGAAAGCATAATTTTTTTTCTGCGTATTTTTGTGTGTAGGTAAACACTAATACCTTGCCATGTAAGTTTTTCTCATCATTGTAAATAAAAAGTTTTTTTTTAAGAGTCTGGGGACGTAGTTTGTTTAAAAATACAAGAAAATCAACATGGACCATTAGGGACGAAACAATAACTTTAACGTGTATGAGAATTCTATTACTAAGTAAATCTAATGATGCTTTTTTGTACGAACATGTTCCACGTCCATACATCCATCAACATACATACAACCTCTAATAAACTTACAACCTCCAACAAAAATAGAACCTCCAAAAAATATAAAACCTCCAAAAAACATAAAACCTCCAAAAAACATACCTCTAACAAACATACAAGCTCCATAAAAAAAAAAAATATATATATATATATATATATATATATATACAGTCTCCGACACACGTTAAACACACAACCTTCAATTTACATACAACTTCCAACAAAAATACAACCTTCAACTTATATACAGCCTCCAACAAAAATACAACCTTCAACATATATACAACCTCCAACAAACATACAACCTCCAACAAACATACAACCTCCAACAAACATCAAACATACAAACTTCAACAAACAAAGAACCTCCAACAAACATACAACCTCCAACAAACATCAAACATACAATCTTCAACAAACATACACCTCCAACAAACATAAACCATCTTACGAACATACAACCTCCAACAAACATACAACCTCCAAAAAACATACAACCTCTAACACAAACATACAACCTTCAACGTCAAACATACAACCTCCAACAAACGTCAAATATGTAACATACAAACATACAACATCCAACAAACATTCAACATCCAACAAACATGCAAACTCCAAAAAACATACAACATCACATAAACACACAACCTCCATCATACACCTCTAACACACGTCGAACATACCTCCAATAAACATACAAACTCCAACATACATCAAACATACAACCTCCCACTAAACGTAAAGATCTAAAGAATCTATTTACAGCGTAGAGCCTATTATACCAACCGGTACTTTAACCTCTCGACGGATTAGCACTGACTTCTTCTAATGGAACCCACGTGCAGAAAATTAGTCTTGTTTACAGAATGTATTGTTGTTAGTCACCGCTGTGTTTTCCCCGCTTTTTGATTGCATTATACCGGGAAAGAAAAGGGCGGTAATAAATGTACCGTAAAGAGAGAGTGGTCTCGCTTTTACGGGTGACGGAAAATGTGTTGCTATAGCGATAGGGCAATGAATATTTTGTGTTAAAAGCTGCTAGAGAGGCTTATGATCTACTTAACTTACATCTTTAGTTATATCGTTTTTAACGTATTCCAAACAAACATATGTTGCGTCAAGAGAGTTAGATAATATCACCTCGTATTCAAGATTTATACTTTCTCGTATATACCAAGTATAAAGAAAGTCTTGTAATCGTGCAAAAAATAAATCGAGATTTTTACAAATCTCGACGTTTTACACCTCACTGATACGGAAAAACATAATTTTGTAATCTTGTCCGTATGTCTGTGTGCCTGTGTGTCTGTTTGTGTGTAAACACGATAACTTGAGTACCGTTACAGCTAGGTTGATGAAATTTCATATATAAGTATTTCATAAATATCGTAGATCCGTATCAACTTGAGCAATTTCCGATAACCGAAAGTGGTACTTTTTCTACTTTGAATTTTTCAAAAGCCTATAACTTGAGTACTATTTCAGATAGATAAATGAAATTTCACATGTAAGTAAAAGATCTAATTCTCTACCTTCTATCAAATTTTGAGTAATTTCCGTTGACCGGAATAGGTAATTTTCACTCTTTCCGATTTCTCAAAAAAACGCATGTGAATTTATAAAGTACTAATAATATTCTGCACTATTATACTCATCTTTATTCGGCGTTCGCTTGGTGCGCAATTTTTTTTTTCTATGAGATTCTATTCTATTTTAAAAAGTTTAAGTATTTAAAATGGATTAAAAATCATAACTAGGCCTATATCCCGAGTTCCCATCCCCTGTTGTTTTATATAAGAATATTCGAGAAAGTTAAGGGGGGGGGGGAGATCACTCCCGGTTTATTTGTATTTCAAAATCTCTATCACCCCCTATAATTGTATATATATATATATATATATATATATATATATATATATATATATATATATACGTGCATAAAACTAAAGATTTTATCTATTTTAAAGTTTAATATAAGAAAATCAATCAAAGGCCCATCTTAAGACGTGGACGTGATTAAAATATTGTCCCAACACTGTGACGCACGCGACCCTTTGATTGCCTCAAATCACTCAGCCTGCTATGTAAATCAAAGCCATCTCATCCCACCGTCGATCTTGCCCAAGGATCTGATGACGAGGTCCACAAGCTCTATTCATCGCTTGGATATTGCGTCATCAGTTTGTGTGCTGCGCAGTTCGTGACATTTCCGTAGGATGAAACACGCTCCTGGCTGTTTGGTTCTTAATACCACTTCCATCTACTTCAGACATTTGTAAACCTGGTGCATCTCTACTGGATATATATATATATATGTATATATATATATATATATATATATATATATATATTATATATATATATATATATATATATATATATATATATATATATATATATATATATATATATATATATATATATATATATATATATATAGCCTATACATTATAAACGCATTCAGTTTTTTATTTGTTTTTACAGAACTAATTTCGTGCCATGTATATATCAATGTTCAATGTTAGTGGTTGAATGTAGAGTCATATTCATTAGAAGGTAACGTTCACGTTTACATTTTTTTAAATCACATTTAAAAAGTGTAGCTGTTTGTTTTATTTATATTTATTTTTTTATAATTTTTAAATATTTCTTTTACACAGTACTCAGTAAAGAGCTATGGCAGTAATAAGCAGGTACTGCTATTTCCAAGCACAGAAATTGCAATATTTAGAAATAAGCTTCTATTTGCTCTAGGACTTAAAGTAATTAACTTTAAAGCCTCATTTAAAAAAGTATATTCAAAGAAGAGGTTTTCGCAAGTCACAATACTTTAACAAATAGTACTTCTCTCTCTCTCTCTCTCTCTCTCTCTCTCTCTCTCTCTCTCTCTCTCTCTCTCTCTCTCTCTCTCTCTCTCTCTGTATATATATATATATATATATATATATATATCTTCGCTTCTCTTATCGGAAATGTAATACGAGAATCAAAACTAGGTTAACATCTTTAAATCCTCAGCAATCGCTTTCCCCGTATACCTTGCTTAAAAATATACCGTATATTTTAAGTGCAGGTGGGTAACGGATTAGCCGTACAAACACTCCGGCGTCTATAGGGTCTCAAAGGCTTACGATACGCCCACCTCAAACAGACGGAACAAACGGGTTTCTTAATCCGTCCAGATACCTGGATCTGGTTGAATGACGGTTGGAAGTTAACCTGACCCCAAGATTGTGTATGAGGAGTGGCGAGGTTCGATTGATTCGATGATTGTATGATTTATGTACTCATTTTTTTTTGGAATGATTTGCACGATCAATTAATCTGATGTTATTTCGAAACATAGACAGAGCAAGTCAGATAGAAATAGAAATAAAACGTTATTATTGACATATATTTATATTCAAAGTAGGTAACCAGCGTAGTAGACTTATCGCAAAAGCTTAAAAACAAG